ACTGAATAAATAAATGGGGTTCCAATTAATAAATGTAAAAGGAATGAGGGAAATAGAAAACGCCTGCTAAGAAGACACCACAGTAATAATTATTTCCAACAAGATTGATAGACGAATGTTCAAAACAGCTAATAAAAGTCTGGGGAGAAACAGGACACGTTCCAGGTTTGCCCTTGGTGACTATTACCTGGAAGTAACCACTAACCTTCTTGACCTTCAGGTATCCAATCTGTAAATGGGTGAGTTTGACTAGATGACCTCAAGAGAACCGTCCAGCTCTCAGGCTCCCATGGAAACAGAGGCACCTCCCATGTATTATCCAGAATATGAATTCTGTTTCCTTTCCTTGCCCTTCTCTCCCCCTTCTTTCCTCCCTTTACCATAACAGATTTCTTGAGAAAGAGAATTTAGAGAACTCTAGAAATGGAAGATGAAGGAAGTCAGAAGTCGGGGGTGGGGGAAATGTACCTCCTAATATTAACTGCAGGCTGGGTTACCATGGGGTGAGGACGGGGGCAGGATTGAGGAAAACAACCCCAACAGGAACGTCTCTTAGGATCAGCAGGAACAAAGAGGAAAGGGGCAATCTAAGGCTTGAGAGCCCTGTCCATCTGGGAGGTGGGCACAGCCTGCTCGGATCTTCCTGCCTTCCTACTCCTGGATCTCTCTAGACCACCATCTACCCTTTCCTGAACTACAGTCGTCCCTCGGTATCCACGGGGGATTGGTTCCAGGACCCCCAAGGATACCAAAATCTGTGGATGCTCAAGTCCCTTCTATAAAATGGTGTAGTGTTTGCACAGAACTACCCACAACCCCTCCTGTATGCTTTAAATCATCTCTAGATGACTCACAATACCTAATGCCATGTAAATGCTATGTAAACAGTTGTTTCATCACAATGGAAGACTTGCTCTGGAAGGTAGCCTTTCTCTTCTATGAGGGTCTTGAGCTCTTCTGGGAGCTTGGATGCTGCCTGGGCCTCAGCAGATGCCAATTCCCTGTGGTCTTGAAGTTCTGGAGGCTGCAGCGCTCTCCATAGCTGGCCGGCCATCCCTCACTAGCCGGAAACGCCTTCCTCTCGCTCCCCTCAACCTCTCACACTTAGCTTTTGAGGAATTGCTTTCACCATTTCATTGCTTTTTAGGAGCCATTTCTTCACAGAAACAAAGGGCACACACAACACAAGTAGTGAACGAACGAGATGCAAGGTGAACGGCGCTCAGACACTGAGAGCTGCAGACAGACTGAGGCCTGTGAGCTGGCGGAGGTCACACAGCAGGGGCGCCGCACATCCCGTCATTCACACACATTCAGTGCGGTGCTCGGGGCTCGGAGCGCGGCAAACTCAAGTTTTGCTTTTTGGAACTTTCTCTTCTGTTTCCAAATATTTTTGACCTGTGGTTGGTTGAATCCTCGGATGTGGAACCCACAGATGCGGAGGGCCTGCTGTACTGTGAAATGGCAATCAGTCACCCTTTCCCTCTCTCTGCAGTTTCAGAATTTTAAACCTTATATCTCAGTAGGGAATGGAAATGGTTTCCCTGTTAAAGGGATTTCAAGAGTCAGGCAGCAGAGAGGGGACCTTCCTTTTGGACAAGATGCTGTTTCCATAGGCAGCCTCCAAAGGCAGTAGAAAGACGCATCAAACTCAATAAAAACGACCAACTCAGGAAATTTGATTTCTAATCTGGCTTCCTGTCTTTGATGATCTGTCTCTGGAACAAAACTCTTGACATGCCTGTGCCATGAGACTTTGAGTACAACATCTGCTATTCAGGCCGCTGTACCGGTTTTTTAAAAGGTAACAAACGCAAACCAGCTGTCCTCACTCTTCATCTCCCCCACCTCCACCTGCACTCTCAGACGAGTACAAACAAGCCAGCACCAGATTAGCCCCCTCTGGGTTCATCCACAACGGCGCTGTCCGGCTCTACTCTGGATCCAACAGCCGCCACCCGACCAGAGCTCTGCAAGATCCCTGACTGATGACATTCTGACCGCCTACCCCCAGCGTGGGCTGGGTGTGCCATCCAATCACTAACACAGGCCGCTCAAAATCCCACAGACAAAAACGGAGATACTATTCCAAACCCTAATCAGGCAACCCAGCAAAGAAGCTAGTAGTCAAAGATTACAACAAACAAAATAGCTGGCATCATCTGTTAGAAAGACAGCGTTTACAAAGTTCTATGGTTTTATTCTGTTTAAAAGATCTAAATTAAGAGCTTTAAAGTCACACACACAAAAAGAGTAGACAGGTCGCACACTGACCACAATAAAAACCGTGGTGATAGTAATGTTTCCAAACAGAAAGCTCTAGGAAGCGACATTCTAATGAGCTTCATTTCCACCCAAACCTCCAGTTCTGAACAAGAAAAAAATAACTTAGGGTAGCTGTTTCCAAGTTATTGTACTGCTCACCCTCTGGAGTTTGAGAATGATTCACGACGTTCGTTTGCAAACCACTTCCCTTCTCCTTGTGACGCACCCTTGCAGTGCGGTGGAGGGCAATCCGATTCAGAGGTATTCTCTCCCAGGTGATTCTCATAACCCTGAAGTGCAGGCACCACTAGGTTGGTGGGAGATGTTACAGGGGATGAGAGACAGAACATGAATCAACTCCTAGTAAACTATTTTCAGCCCATCTATATTCTCATCCTCCACCTGCCCAATTTTTGTTATGTCTATTTTTTAAAAATAGTCATTTGTTAAACAAATTGGTTACTGGGAGCCTATTATGGATTGAACTGCGTCCCCCCGAAATACGTGCTGAGCTATGGGTCCTCGTCCCTGTGGATGCAATCCCGTTCAGAAACAGGTTTTCCTTTGGTTACATTAACGAGGTCATATCAGTGTAAGGCTGGCCTAAATCTAATCACTTCTGAGTTATACAAAGGCCAGAACAGCCACAGAGACACACACGGGGAAGACAGACACCACGTGAGGATCGTCCACAAGGCAAAGAATGCCAAGGCACCAAGGAAAGCACAGACCTACTGACAGCAAGGAACTGACGTGGCCGAGACCCTGATTTGGACTTGCAGCCTCCAGAACTGTGAGAAAATAAATTTCTGTTCTTTAAAGCTACTCACTTGTGGTATTTCTGTTATAGCAGCACTAGGTAGCTAAGACAGAATCTATAATTGTCTTCACTGACGAGTATCACAGAATGGCCAAGGTCCCCTTTAGGATATTCACAGCCCAACAAGTCATTGTTTATTGGTTTAGTTCTTCCCACCAACGGAAAAGGACGCAGCAACCATAGTGAGCAGTGGTTTGCAAGAGGACTTTGGAAAAGTGGAGAAGCACAGCTTCCAAGAGAAGATATGGGCTCACCCCATGCCCACCAGCACACCCAGGGGCATTTCCTGGCCCCTTTTTGAGTGAAATCCTGGCTACTCCAAGGAGGAGGAAATGCATTGTCGCATGATGTTGTTAGCTGTATTTTATAATCTAATCTCAGAAGTGATATACCACCACTTCTGCGGTAAATTATACAGACAAACCCTGGAACAATGTGGAGGGTTCTACACAAGGGTGGAAGTATTAGGAGGTGAGGATTCTTGGGGGCCCTCTTGGAAGCTGGCTACCATACACAGACATTATGTTATTTGGCACATAAAGGCTCATGGTGTGACACCATCAATTTGGTTTTGTACTGGTCAGTGCTTTTGAATTCTACTTTTTTAAAGAAATCTATTGTTGTCTCTTGCTATTTCATCTGTATCCTTTTCCTCTACAGTCTCGGAAAGCTAGTTGACCGATTTTATTTTCTCCAGTGTTAATTCTGCTCTCTAATACCTCTAGAGCCTTTTTTGTCTTTGGTTGTATCTTTCTCTTATTTTGGCTGGCTCCATGTCTGATCGGGGCAGGGTACATGAAGTGACTTCAATCCACCCAGATGCACACTCGGTGTCTGGCAGAGCCTCACCTCAGGTCTACACCTGGAGGATGAACTGATTTGCACAAGCCTTGGCTCAGCTTCCACAGGCACTCATCACGTGTGGCTCTGTTACACTAGTGTGGATCTCGACCGCTCACTGCTTCCATGGCTCTCCCTGTTTCTGAGCATGTCCTATGAGAACGCCATCCCCACGTGCCATCCTCCTCCTCCATTTTACCCACTCTGTGTTGTACGGGGAGATATAACCTTGGACTTAATGTGAAGAGAGAAGAACTGAAGGGGTAAAGTTGCATGGGGCCCAATTCTGGCCCCCTCAGATCTTAATTCCCATGGAGAGGGAGGGCAGAGGTCTGGTTTTGGGTTTTGGTAACCATGAGCCTCTGAGCCTGGGCAGAGAGTGGTATGAGTACAGCTTTGTCTTGGGGTCTTGCTGGGGCAGGCTATGTTTCCGCAAACCTGACTGGCATTGTACTTGGCAAAAATTCCTTCTAGATTTCTATCACTGGTTTTGGCAGATCTTCCTACCTTTCAGGCTAACTCATTGGTTAATTTTTATATATGCCTAATGTACCTTTTTTCCCCCCAGAGAAGAATGCATGGATTATACATATAGAACAATGGATTTTCGATTTCAATAAGGACAGAAAATTATTCTACTCACCAACTCCCATGGCAGCCACATGATGCTTGTGGTGGAATTCTAAAGGACATATGGAGGCTGACAGGAGCATCCCAGACTCCAAATGACGCTTGTGGTGGAATTCTAAAGACGACGTAAAGGAGGCTGACAGGAGCATCCAGGCCTCCACATGACACTTATGATGGAATTCTAAAGGAAGATATAAAGGAGGCTGACAGGAGCATCCGGGCCTCCACATGACGCTTGTGGTGGAATTCTAAAGATGATGTAAAGGAGGCTGACAGGAGCATCCAGGCCTCTACATGACACTTATGATGGAATCCTAAAGGAAGATATAAAGGAGGCTGACAAGAGCATCCGGGCCTCCACATGACGCTTGTGGTAGAATTCCAAAGGAAGATATAAAGGAGGCTGACAGGAGCATCCAGGCCTCCACATGATGCTTGTGGTGGAATTCTAAAGGAAGATATAAAGCAGGCTGACAGGAGCATCCGGGCCTCCACATGATGCTTGTGGTGGAATTCTAAAGGACGACGTAAAGAAGGCTGACAGTAGCATCTGGGCCTCCAAAGCAGGCAGTGCTGTCATCATGCAAAATGGCCTCTGGGACCCCAGCCATTTCCAGAAGGTTGTAACTAACCTGAATCTCTTCTACTACATTTAATGGATACTAACAAAAATATGAGAATATGCCTTAAACACATATATGTAACACAATGTATTTTTACCTTGTCATAAATCCTGGCCACCAAGCCCCGCTGAAGAACCCTTTCGCGAAAATTAACTGCTTTCAACAGGAAGGCGAGTTTACCGACTGAGTCCACGTCGGATGCCAGAAAACTGAAGGAAAAGCACAGTGATCATCATTATTTTGGCCTCACAAAAGAGTTTCATTTGAAAGAAAGACGTTTGTTTGTTGTTTTCAAAAAGAATTTTCTTCCAATTCAGTGACATTAATCACGTTCACCATGTTGTTCAACCATCACCACTACCCATCTGCAATTTTTTACATCGCCCTTAACAAAAGCTCAGCATCCCCCAAGCAATGAGTCTCCTTTTCCCCCTCTCTCCCACCCATGCTTGGTAACCACTAATAAACTTAGGTCTTTAGACACTTGCCTATTCTAAATATGTTACATATGTATTTACCATAATTAAAAAAAAAAACCTGAAGAAAAAAAAAGAATGTTCTTCCAATAGAAAAGTGGTATAAGTATACGTCATCTCCTCCCCGTCTCACACCTGTTGTGTGCGTACATCTCTTCAGTGTTTTGCTGATAATGCCTGGCTCTTGTCTGTTCTACGTGGTTGGCCTTGTGAGATGGAGATTCTTTGGTTTCCTGTGTTTTCCATTTACTATTTTATGAGTAGTTTTCAATATTTTACTTAGCTTTTCTTCATTAGCATCTATATAATTCCCATCAAGTGGTTTATAATAATTAATCATTGTTGGACACTTATTATAAATATTGTTTGAATTGAATATTAATAATCGAATACATCTGTCACTAAGTATTTGTCAAAGAATAATATTTATTAAATACATTATATATCAGGAACTTTGCTAAGTACTTTCCATCAATGATTTAATAATCTCAATAATTCTGTAACGTAGATACTATAATTATCCCAACTTACAGTTCAAGAAACCGAACCTCAGCCAAGATTTAGTCATTTGCCCAAATACACACAGGCAGAACATGGTAAATCTCGGGTTTTGTCTTAGAGTACACCAGTACTTAAGGGAAAAAGAGCCCGTGGCAGGGGGGTGGGGGGGGCAGTGAGAAGGAGGGACAAGCACAGGGGTAGTGGGCCACAGAGATGAGACTTTCTTCAGCAGGTAGGAATTTCCATCATCCCTATTTGGCAGATGAGAAAACAGAGGCACACAGTAGTTAAGGGACTTACGCACAGACTCCAATCATACAAATCTCCCTCCAACTCCCACATGCTATCTATCATGCTACTCTGTCTTTTGTGCTAATTTTGCCTCTCATGAAACTTCTGTCTTTAGAATCTAATAAATAGTTGTGATGGTTAATTTTACATGTCAAATTGTCTAGGCTATGGTGCCCAGTTGTTTGCTCAAACACTAGTCCAGATGATGTTAGGAAATAGTTACACGTGATTACATCAGCTGGTCTCAATTAAAGCAGATTACCCTTCATAACCTGGGTAGGCCTTACCCAATCAGTTGAAGGCTTTAAGAGCAAAAAGGGAGCATCCCTAGGGTGTGTTCTGCCTCCAGAATATAAATAGATTTTTCCAGAACTCTCTCCGTCTTCACTCTTTCCATCCCCTGACCTATAGATTTTGGGACACACGGCTGCAAGATTCTCCAGCCTGTTGTCCGACCTACAGAATCTGGACTTGCCAGCCAATGATCTCTTTAAAGTGTTGAAAAGCAGAGCTATCACCTTGAAGACTAAGGTGCACCTGACCCAAGCCATGGTGTTTTCAATTGCCTCATATACATGTGAAAGCTGGATGACGAATAAGGAAGATCGAAGAAGAATTGACATCTTTGAATTGCGGTGTTGGAGAAGAATACTGAATATACCACGGACTGCGAGAAGAACAAACAAATCTGTCTTAGAAGAAGTACAACCAGAATGCTCCTTAGAAGTGAGGATGGCGAGACTGCATCTCACATACTTTGGACATGTTATCAGGAGGGATCAGTCCCTGGAGAAGGACATCATGCCTGGTAAAGTAGAGGGTCAGTGAAAAAGAGGAAGATCCTCAATGAGATGGATTGACACAGTGGCTGCAACAATGGGCTCAAGCATAACAACGGTTGTGAGGATGGCGCAGGACCCGGCAGTGTTTCATTCTGTGGTACGTGAGGTTGCTATGAGTCAGAACAGACTTGAGGGCACCTAACAACAACAAAGCCCTCCACAACTGCACGAGCTGATTTCCTAACACCTCTCTCTCTGTGTTTCTCCAGAGAACCCTGACTAAGACAACAGCCGAGGGGTTAATACACACTTAGGGTTTCCAGTAGTGCAGCCACCCTTTGCTCTCCACCCCCATGTCCTGGGGAAATAAGTTATTCTAAGACCCAAATTAGTGGGATTCCTATTAATTCCTATTAATTAAAATTAAAAGCACACAAGTAGGCACTGTTGTTTAATCAGAGGCCAAGAGAGAAACTGAAGAAGCAACTGACAGAGTGCTTTTCGGAATGCCATGTGCTGGATTAACACCTGTCCTTGTATTGGACAGAGAAGATGGGAGGTCAGTGAATATTCACGTGCCAATTACCAGGCCATTTAATCACACTGATGTTACTCTGAATCTGGTTTTAGAGAGTTGAGTTTCTGCCTCAGACGATTTAACAAAGAAATTTGTTGAGAAATTTAACTTTGTGAAGAAAGTTAAGAACTTGCCTATTTTACCGAAAAGTATGTTTTAGTCATCCCAGGGACTGTCCCTGTGAAACCTGGAAACTGTGAGTGTTGTTATGGGAAGCCACCTTTCTTGGACGTTTGTGATAGATGTTTGTTCACCTGAGGCAATGAACTGCCTGGGCTCCAGGAAGGAGTTCCACCACCAGCCCTGAGATGATCCACGTGTGAACCACAACCTCACCGATGCAGCTCTAGAACTCGTGCAAAGCAGGAGACAGTGCCAACTCTCAACATCGGAACATCGCTGTGTTTGTTACCATAAGACCGATACGACTCTAACTTAAATAAATTTTAGATTAAATTCAAATGCACATCATTGGTTGCCAGAGAAATACAAATGCAAACCAGAATGAGGCTGCACTATACCTTCACCAGAATGACTAAGATGAAACATACTGACAACACCAAGTGCCAACAAGGCTGTGGAGCAACCAGAACTTTCATACTTGTTGATGGGAGTGTGAAGTAGTAAAACCTCCTTGGAGAAAGTTCTCACAGTTTCTCATAAAGCTAAACAAACGCATACCCTATGGCCCAGCAATTCCACTCCCACTATTTCCCTGAGAAACAAAAATATATGTTCACAAAAAAAGGATTGTATGAGAATGTCCATAGGAGTTCTATTCACGAGAGTGAAAAGCTGGAAACATCCCAGGTGTCTATCCATATATAAAGGAGCCCTGATGATGCACTGTTAAGTGCACGGCTGCTAACCAAAAGGTTGGGGGTTCAAACCCACCAACCTCTCTGCAGGAGAAAGATGTGACAGTCTGCTTCCGTAAAAATTACAGCCTTGGAAACCCTGTAGGGCAGTTCTACTCTGTCCTATAGAGTTGCTGAGAGTTGGAACTGACTCGATGGCAATGAGGTTTTTTTTTTTTAATCCATACATAGGAAAATAGAAAACAAATTACAGTATGCCCATAAAATAGAACGTATAGGGTCGCTATGAGTCGGAATCAACTCGACGGCAACGGGTACTCAGCAATACAAATGAATAAACTAATACACAAAACAACATGAATTAATCCAAAAAAAATTACGATAACTTAATAAATCCAGCCACAAAAGGGTACATACTGTATGGTTACACTTATATGAAATTCGACAGCTGGTAAAACCAATCTGTAGTGGGAAAAAAGTCAGAATAGTGGTATGCCTTGAGCAGTGGTGGCGGGATTGACTATGAAGGGGCGTGGGGGGAATTTCTGGAGTGATGGCGGACAACCTGTATCTTGTTCAGAGTTGGAATGACACAGGTGTATGTATTTTCAGAACCCAGTGAATGTACACTTAAGATTTGTGCATCTCACTGTATGTAAATACTGCATAAAAAAGAAATAAAACTAATGAAATACTTAACTGTAGTTAATCATGTTCATGCCGAAGTATTTAGAGAGAAGTGTGTTTATGTCTAAAGTGTACTTTGAAATTCATCAAAAAGGTAAAGTGAATTCATGGGTGTATTGAGGGATTGCTACACAGATAGATATGTGATAAGGCAAGCATAAACCAAAAAAAAAACCAAACTCGTTGCCTTCGAGTCGATTCCGACTCATAGTGATCCTATATGACAGAGTAGAACTGCCCCATAGGGTTTCTAAGGAGTGACTGGTAGTTTCCAACTGCCAACCTTTTGGTTAGCAGCTGAGCTCTTAACCACTGCGCCACCAGGGCTCCAAAGTAAGTACAGTAAAATATTAATGGCAGAATATAGATGGTGGGTATACACACGTTCACTGCAAAACTCTATCAACTCTGCTGAACATTTGAAAATTTTCATAATACCATATGGGAAAGCATTAAAATGCAACACAGATTCTCACCCTTCCTCAGCACGCACAGCTTCCTAGGGTATCTGGGCTGATGAGAGCAGCAGCGAGGGCTCCTGGCAGGCTGCCTTGGGGCGGGGTAAGTGAGGAGAGGCAGAACTCACTGGGACAAGAAAGGCAGAATGAGTTGTTTCCAAGTCAGATAACCCCCCTCTGAGGGCCACTTCCCTCAGCGCTCTCTGCCACCCCCTGCCCAACCTCACCTGGTCCCATGGAGCCTTTTCGAACCATGGCTGACTCCCCCAACATCCAAATGAGGGGCAGCCTCATGGTGAGCACACAATGGCCCCTACTTGGAGGGACTTCAGGGTACCAGAAGTTCTTGGCCCATCTTTCTTCAACTCCCCACCTGCTCAGATAGTTCTCTCGGGAGTTGTCAGTACAACTGCTGTCTGCCTTCTCCACTGGGGAGCCAGCTCCACGGTGGCCGACAGCCCACGGTAGGCGCCCCATCACCCATGCTGAGGAAAGCACCCAGCGCCCAGTGTCTGCTGAGGACTTGCTGGGTAAGAAAGGCTTCCTTTAACGTAAAAACCAGAGTAAGTGTGGTTTGGGGGCTTATGTGGGTAAACACAGACAGACTGATCAGTAAAGT